AGGCCCCCCTTCCTTTGCCCCCCCCCTGCCACACCCTGATGTATTTGTTTGATTGAAAGGGAAGCTACCTAAGGGTCCTAGAGCAAACTCCTGTTCTTCTGGCTGCCGGCAGGTCCTTTCTGGGCTCTCAGTTCTGCCCTTCTTGGGCTGAGTAGACCTTCCTGACCTGTTTGTGCCCTTCAGGGTATGTGTAGCCTTAAGGCAGGGGTGGGCAAAATGCAATCTACATCTTGCTAGGCCAGATTACTTGATCTGGATCAGGCCCCAGGCATATATGCTGTCTAAGCCCTATCCCTTCCAGACAGGTGGCACTCCAGCTGAACAGTTTATCATTAGGGCCTGAAGGCTGGTAGCCATGGCAGCTGATGACTGCTGCTTTAGCAGCCTCCCTGCTGTACAAGCAAGGCTCTGGCCTACTGGGCTATTTCCTTAGTTGCCTATTCCCTTGCAGCCAGCTCCCTGCAATCAGAGTTCTCCTGACTGGCTGTAGGTGCATCCTTTCACTCTCATGGGCAGCTTCCTGCCTTGACAGTGATGTTTCTTTGCTGTCTTCCTTCTTGTGGCTAGGCCCTGCTTAGCTGTCTGGGCTCTACCTGCTGTCATTTATCTCCTTAAAGTAACAGGAACCCCAGGCTCTCTGTTACATTAATTTTGAGACATCATGCTAGGGTTTCGTAGTGCTTTCCTGTGGGAAGGCTCCCTTTTCTATGACAGAATTTCTTGCTAAGGTGACTGAGACTCAAGCTCCAGAGGGTGAAGGCAACAGAAGACATTGCTTAAGGGGTGATTTTATCTTTTGCATCCCAATAGCCCTAAGAGAGGAAGAAGGGGACAGTTACCTGTGCCTATATCATTAAATTACATGGAATGGGAACATGCATCTGCCTGGACAACACAGATCAAGGTAAGTGTTTAAGGTCAGTATCTTGGGGCAGCAGTTCAGGGCAAGTCTGCAGTTCCAGCTCCTCCTGTCACTGTGGGTACTAAGCAATGTGAGGAGGCGGGGTAGAGGGAATTGCCACGACTCACCTGGAGACAGGCCCTCAGAACATATACATTCTCCAGGTTCCTCATCATCATAGACCCAGAGCTCTACCTCCCCTTGCTGAATGCGGCCGATTAAGTCTGGTGTGGGACCTTGATATCCTGTTTGGAAAAATGCATAGAGAGCAGTTATGTTTGGTTCCTCTCCAACCAGTACCCATTTGGGATTTAGAGAACAGATACAAAGGACTCAAAACATTTCAAGGGGATCATGAAGGAAAAGGGAATGTGGACATATAGCAACAAGAAGAGGACACTCTAGGCAGACACCTTGTATCAATAATAGCCCTTTTCACCAAGGTAAACAGAAGTATGTTTCTATGAAAAATAAAGCATCAGCCACTAAGAAGTATATAAATGGTATACAACTCCAGCTGGAACATGGAAGTTGGGCAGACGTGCAATGATTTGTAATGTAGAGGGAAGTAATTATTCGCCTCTATTCAGCACCGGTGAGACCACATCTGGAGTACGGTGTTCAGTAGTGGGGGGCCCAAAACAAAGAGGATGCGGACAAATTAGAGAGAGTCCAGCGGAGGGTGACAAAAACAGTGAGCGGGCTGGGGGTCATGACTTATGAGGAAAGACTGGGGGAACTGGGCTTATTTAGTCTAGAGAAGAGGAGACTTAGAGGAGACTTAATAGCAGTCTTCAACAATCTGAAGGGGTGTTCAAAAGAGGATGGAGCTAGGCTGTTCTCAGTGGTGGCAGATGACAGAACAAGGAGCAATGGTCTCAAGTTGCAGCAAAGGAAGTTTAGGTTAGATACTAGGAACAATTTTCTCACTAGGAGGGTAGTAAAACATTGGAACAGTTTACCCAGAGAGGTGGTGGAAGCTCCATCCTTGGAGGTTTTCAAAACCTGGCTAGACAAACCCCTCTTTGGCTGGGACGATTTAGTTGGGGCTGGTCCTGCTTTGAGCAGGGGGTTGGGACTAGATGCGACCTCCTAAGGTCCCTTCCAACTCTAACTTTCTATGATTCTGTGTAGTATAAAAACTTTCTTACCCTTCTTTTTACATTCAAGATACCAAATTGAAAAGAAAGAGCAGAAACACTAATGGATAGATACAACTTCTGTTATTATGGTAATTCCAGGCAGAGATCTTGAACTGTACTTATTCCTGATGAATGTTTGCACTGACAAGTTTTGGAAATAAAGTAAGTCAATGAAAACTGGATAACAATGGAGCTTTGTATGGAGGAAGGGAGTAATTCACAATCACAGATACACAGAAAGGAGAATTTTATAATACTGTAAAAGAAACTATATATAGACCCCCACATAAGGCCTGAGGAACCAAGATTGTTCCAAGCATCTACCTCAGAAAAAATGACAGTTCTCTCACATTGAACATACCCCCAAAAAACAAACACACACAGTTTTATGACGGCAGAATGAAAAAAAAAATTGAATAACAGTAATTTAATATAACAAATTATAAAATACAAAAATCCACATGAGCTTTGCACACACCTCACTTCCCTCATTGCCATATTGTGTCATGTCTCTGCAACAGACCAAAAACAATTCCAGAGAATTAAAGACCTATCAGTCTGATGTCCATCCCTGGAAAGATCTTGGAGAAAATGATCAAGGGATCCATCTGCAACAGGCTAATGGAAGGCAACCAACTGAATGCCAGCCTATGTGGTTTTATTCATGGAAGGTCTTGCCTGACCAATCTCATCTCCTTCTATGACCAGGTGATGCATTGCCTGGACAAGGGAGATGAGGTTGATGCCATTTATCTGGACTTTAAGAAGGCAGCTGGGGTCATCTAGCCCCAGCACTCTTCCCTGCCTATGCAGGGGGTCGGACTCGATGATCTATTGAGGTCCCTTCCGACCCTAGCATCTATGAATCTATGACCAACCTGGGGAACTGTGGCTTCAACCAGCTCACTGTCCAATGGCGGGGGAACTGGCTCTGGGGTTGGACCCAAAGGATACTAGTTGATGGGAACAAATCAGCATGGCACAAGGTTACCAGTGGAGTCCCCCAGGGTTCAGTGCTCAGACCAGTACTCTTCAATATCTTTTTTAGTGACCTTGATTCGGGCGTCAGATGCAGACTGGCAAAGTTCATGGATGACACTAAACTATGGGGAAAGGCAGTCAGGCTGGAGGACAGGCTGGGGATACAGGCTGACCTGGACATGCTTGCCAAGTGGGCAGACCAAAATCTGATGGCGTTCAATGTAGAGAAATGCAGGGTACTCCACCTTGGGAGAAAAAAACAGAATCATATTTATAGGCTCGATGGTGCTACGCTCGCTAGCACTGTGACCGAAAGGGACTTGGGGCTCTTGACTGACCACAAGATGAACATGAGCCCCCAATGTGATGCCGTGGCCTGCAGAGCAAACCAAACTCTGGCATGCATCTACCAATGCATCTCGAGCAAAAGCAGGGATGCCATCCTCCTGCTTTACTCAGCCTTAGTGAGGCTGCAGCTGAACTACTGTGTCCAGGTTTGGGCCCCCCACTTCAGGAGGGATGTGCATAAGCTCCAGAAAGTCCAGAGGAGAGCCACCCATGTGATCAAAGGCCAAGAGAGCAAGTCTTACGAAAAGAGGCTGAGGGACATAGGACTCTTCAACCTGGTGAAGAGAAGGCTCAGGGTAGACTTGGTGGCTGCCTATAAATATATAAGAGGGGTACATCAGGATCTAGGAAAATAGTTGTTCACCAGGGGTCCCCAAGGGATAACTAGGTCCAACTGCCACAAACTTCTAGGAGGCCGACTCAGACTCAATAGAAGGAAGAACTTCTTTATAGTCCAAGTGTCCAAGGTCTGGAACAGATTCCCCCCAGAGGTGGTGCAATCACCTACTCTGGACTCATTCAAAAGGCATTTGGATGTTTATCTTGCTGGGATCATCTGATCCCTGCACTTCCTGCCTCTGGCAGGGGGGCTGGGCTTAATGATCTCACAAGGCCCCTTCCAGCCCCTAATTCTATGAAATGTCAATGAAATATTAGAACCTGATAAAGTTAAAAAAGAACTAAAAGAACACCAAATCTAACAAGAGATAAGATTAAAACAAGGAAGATGAAAAATATTCTGGTACTTATCTTTATTCTTTGTTGCTGCTGCCTCCCAAGTACTTCAGTGACCTGTATCACCAGCCATCATGGCACAATCCTAACTACCATCCAGGCAGTTAAAAATGAATCATTGTTAACTATCAAGTCTGCTGGGGTTAGGTTCCATGTAGCCTTGATCCACTTAGATAGCTGCCCTATTTCCAGCCACTTGACCTTCCCAGTTGGCACCAAAATGTGGGCATTACTCACCATCAATTCTATATATAGATGTTTTCATGTTTGCTTTGAAAGAATGATTAATGCTAATATTAAAGGGCTGAAGTACTGATGTTCCTAATATTGTTATCTGGTCAGTGTTTCCATCTTTTAGCTGTTTCTTCACTTGCTCTGTTTTAGGGAACACTGTACTATCCTATACAAGCATGTTATTAATTTCAAAAGAGCACCAGGTTGGCATTCCTATACATACTTAATCCAGCCCATCACTAGTATGTTGAGAGGGCACAAGGAAAAAGGCGGACAGACAATTATCTCTTGTGGCAACTTCTCCTGAAGGAGCATCTTCTTTAAAAAAAAAAAATTACATAGGCTAGCAACTTAGTTCCATCAGAAAATCTTAACAGTGCAGTGCAATTTTTTATACCTGGGCATTCTTACGTGAACAGATTTTTTTCCACTCATTTACTGTGGTATCAGATGGTATTTCAAAATGCACTGGTATCTCATCTGCATTCCCTATTTGTGACAGTAAGTATGAATTCTGCTTTTGCAGGCTGATAACATATCATTGAAAGAGCTATCAACTTGTCATATACCTCAGATAAGTGCTGGGAAAATAATTGCAGGGGTTTGGGTTGGTCTAATAAAAGATATCAAATTCACCCAAGGAACCTTGTCTGGGAAAATAATTGTGCATGCTCTTATTGAAAGTCCATTTCTACTATAAAGTTCTCTGCATACAACCTCTGCTTGCCTTGAACTGAAGACCTAATCCACGTTCCCTGAAGATTTCACATGCTTTTTAACAGGCACGTTCCTGTGGACATGGCAATTCAGATATGCAATTTCACTCACACATATGCCATAAGATGTTCAAGTTCTAGATGTTTTGCTTAAAATGTAGCTTCTCTTTCTTCTTCTTTCAGTCTACGTGTTTCGTTGATACCATACTTTCTTCCAGCAGCATAGTTTCCAGCTTTTTCTGCTTCTCTCAGCACTTTTAAGTTTCTCAACAACAATGAAAGAACACCACCTTTTCCTCCTCATTTTTGCACCTGCTTGCAGATTTAACAGTCCAGCTGCATTCCTGAACACCTCTACTGTAGCCAGCAGTGAAACACTGGTAGCAGCAAAAAAGGATGGGAGAACCTATCATTGCTTCATTAGCCCCTAGTTCAGGGGTGGGCAATTATTTTGGTTGGACGGCCACTTAACAAGTTTTGGTGTGCTGTTGACGGCCACAATGATAGCCCTGCCACCCGGTTGGCACTGGAAGTCCCTCCCCTTGCCCCTGGAAGTACTTCTTTTGGGGAAGGGGAATTTGTCATCTTGGAAACAGAACTCCCCCTGCCCAAAAATTATATACTAAAAATCAAACATCTACAATAAGATATTTTAATTTTATTTTTAAAATATTTTTGTCTTCATATGTGCGTGTTTGCATCGTGTATATAGAGGTGACTGCATAATAGCTCAAAATGAAGTCTTACTCTTGTATAGTATGGGTGGTTGTGAAGGGGTTGTAGGTTTGTGTGTGGGGGGAGTGTGGGGGATGAGGGTGGGTGGGTATGGGGTTTGTTGCGGGATGGGGCTTGTGGGTGTGTGGGGAAGGGTGGGCCTCTCCCCATAGCATACTCCCCCTGCATTGCACATAGCCCCTGCTGCCAGCATCAGCAGCAGGTCGCACGTGGTCCTGGTGAGCCCTGGGACTAAGTGTGGCCGGGCCACTGGCTCCATCGTGCAGGGCTAACATGCCTGAGACGTGTGCTGCCAGGGGAGCCCTGTGCGATGAAGCCAGTGGTGCAGGTCATGGGGCTCAGCTAGGGTGGCATGGAGAGGGGCAGAGCTGGCTTCTCTCTATAGCGCAGAGCTCCCCGCAGTTCCCCATGACCTGCACATAGCAGTGAGTAGGGCTAGGCCATTGGCTCTGTCATGTGGGGCTTCCCCCCCAAGAGATGCACAATGTGGGTATAGAACCCAGGAACTGCATGCAAACCCTACATGAACCCTACAGCAAACCCTGCTGGCCCCAGCCCCTACCCCAGGGCACTGGTACAGGCCCTGTGCTCCTGCCCAGCTGCCACTTTGCCCCCACAGCGGCCACCACCACTCCCCCATCATTGCTGCAGGCAAGGGTGGGAGCGCAGTGTGCGCTGCCCCTATGGGAGTGAGCAGGGCTCAGCCCCATGCGAACACAGTAGGGGTAGCCCAGGGACAGACTGGATACAGCGAACTGATAGGCACCCACTGGCAGGCCGGAAAAAAAAAAAATCTGGCGGGCTGTGTTTTGCCCACCCCTGCCCTAGATACTGCTACTTACACAGCAGCAGTCTCTGCCTGACAGCAGCAGTAGCCATTTAAACTCAAAGTGCAGGGGTGGGAGTAGGCAAGAATCAGAGATGAAGTGACCTCCTTTGGTGCCCTGGACAGAGCAGGAGGGAGGAAATAAGGCATCATGTGATAGCTATTGGAGGCAGAAACTTATTTACTTCAGCTGTGGTTCCCTCCTCTGAACAGGGCTATTGTGAGCAAGCAGCAGCCCAAGGACAGCCAGCCTGCTCTCTAACTTCAGTTAGACTCCCTTGCAGAAGCCCTGTGGTGCAGGTTCCTCAGGAGCACCCCAGACTAGTAGTCCGCTAAACTATCTCTGCCTTGGCAGGCAGCTGAATGACATTACGTATATTTTTCTTGAATATAACCTGCACGTTTCCACCAAAAAAGCTGCTGAAAATCTGAGTGCGTATTCTATGTGAGGAAATACAGTAATCTAAAAGGATGATTATATGAAGGCTTTAATAAAGTTCTTAGTTTGTAATTTGACAATAGGAAATTCCTTCAAACTCTTGCTATTGCTGTCATACACAATATTTTTTTAAACTGTGTTCTCTGTTCGTTCAAGATTGAATAGAATCCGACAGAGTAAAGGAAGAAAAATAAATGTTTGCAAATAAGGAGAATGGTTAAAAGCCTGGAAAGGTAAGAAACAACATGGATATTAACCTTTCATTAGCCAGTTGATAATATAAAGTGGTCTTAATGCCAATTTGAAAGCAGGCCTCCTATGAACTATTCTATTATTTTGCAGTTAGGCTATGTACAACCAGGTTAGACTGAACTAAACACCTTTCCCTGTCCTTGTACCGAGTCTTGATTTTTCCTAGCTCCACAGATTCCTCACCTATGAAATTTCCAAGACTGTTTCTAGTTCCTTACTTTCTGTTTTCCTTAGCCTCCCTGCTTAATGTCACTTGGCCTAGTTCTTTGTAGTCTACTTCTACTAAGCAGCATAATGCTTCCTCAGTTCTACAATATGCAGTCTTTTCACCCAATGGGAGGATCATCACAACAATGGATATGAAGACACAGGTTAGTTAATAATACAGTATGTAGGATACAGTTCACTGGAGTTATGGGTATGGAAAAAGGAGGAGCAAGACATTTTACAGCTTGTAAAAGCCTGCATTCCAAAGCATGGAACTGGCCAGTACAGAACCACTAACAAAAGAGAGATGGCCATTCAATACAGACAGATTTCACAATAACTAGAAGGGGAAATATAATGGAAGAGTTGATATCTTGTTAGAGCAAAGTACCCTAACACAGTGTCCTACTTGCTTAGTTTTTCCCCACAAAAAAGAAAAGGAATGCCAAGGGAAAAGATGAAACGATGGAAGTTACTTCATAACCAAAAGCTTGGCTTCTTATCAAAGTCAAACTACAGTCTCCATGTAATAAAGAGCTGGATGCAGATACACTGTGGGATACAGGGAAAGAGGCTTTCCTTTAACTATGGACCTACCAAAATCAAGGAGGCAGGCAGCCAATTTTGTGGGCTGATCGTGGAGCTGGCTTCTATTTTCATGGACTTATCACAGTGAGGCCCCCCTTTCACTGCTGACTGGCTGAGGATGCTGTCCATCATGCAGCCCCACCCCTCATTGCTGATTGGCTCCCACCCCACTGGGGAGCCAGCATTTTACTTTTATTTTGTGAATTCTGCAGACAATGCTCACTTTCATGGACAATGCCCCATGTTGCGGCTTCCATGAAATCGCAAGTTGAGTAGGCCCCAACTTAGAGCCATAGAAAATGTATTAAATGATACTGAGTCGTGTTAAGAAAACCCAGGTGGGAAATGTGGTGGGATGTAGAGATTCAATGAGCTAATGAAATCAAGAGAGAAATCTTAATATGCACCAAAAACAGATTTGGACCAAGTAATTATGCAAAAGACAAGAGCAGTGAAAAGGGGCAGTCATATGAAAAGCAGCATTAAGTGACATTCATGAAAAACCAAATAGTAGATAGGATGAGAAACTATTGATATGCTGATTAAAATCTACTAGGTGCAAATAACGGGCTTGGATAATGATGTCCTGATACTATGAGTGATGGGAAAGCTGGATTAACATCTTACTTGAAAGAAAATTTCCACACCTGAATGAATTTTGATTTTCTTGAAAGGAGAATATCCCAGAAGAATTTTGCATCCACTGACACTGAAAAATGAACTTGAAGTTCCAGCTGGCAGTGCAGAGGAAATCAGGAAAGATGAAAGCAAACTAGCCAGGTCATATGCCCAATGTGAAGAAGTTCCCAAAGCATTAGGAGATGTAGAGTTCTCTAAATTAAATGCAGTGATCCTCCAAGAAGAGATTCCAGACAACTGGCGCACTTATACATATACATTTTTGTGCTGCAAGATTAATCGAGTCTACTCTGCAAGCAAGCTGACGTGCACTGTGCTCTGTTGTGAGCAGTTGTGTAAGCAGTGAAATGCATGTCAGTGTGCAGAAAATGGCAGCGGTGCACTTTTGAACTAAAACAGCTTTGATGCGTTTAGTTCAAAGGTGTGCCATGGCCATTTTTCCAGCACTGACACACATTTCACCATTTATACAAATGCATGCATGGCAGTGTTTTAAAACTGCCTGGTGCTGCAGCACAAGCATGTGTACAAACGTCCCTGGTTACTAACTTTTAGTGTTAACAAGAATATTGATGTTGAATTTAGTAACCACCCACATGGCATTGAAGGAAGCACAGTGTTACTTAGCCACGCTATAATAAACTTTATAGAACAGCAGAGTGAGCTTGAGAGCATTGAGGGGAGTGGGGAGAAAGCAGATTTATACCACCAGCCCAACCTTCAAGAGAAGTATGGAGAGGAACAAGGAGAGGAAGGGGACATTTTTGAGCTCACAGCTCTGCTGAGAAGCAAGAAACAGGACTTTACCCAAGGAAACAAGAGCTTGGTAATTCCTCAGCATTTGCTCTCGGTAAAGCATCTTGTCTCCATCTTGCAGCTGCTCCCATTCCTTACGGGTGAAGTATAGTGCCACATCCTCGAAGGCCTCCCAGAGCTGTAATGACAAGCATCACCCACTTAGTCCCTTCTGCTCTATTCTCTTCCAGCCCCCGTAAATCGCTTGAAGGCTTACTCTGTATCAGAAAGATGTGCCAGCGTGGCTACCCTGGACAGAGGTGGGAAGCTGTGTATCCCTCAGATGACACAGCTGTTCCAGCAAAGTGGGGGAGTGCATTTGTCCACTTCAGCCCAGGGAGGTGGTGCAGCTACTCTCTCTGTTGCCACAGATTGCCTCTATGCTGGGGGCATTCCCATTGCCATTGCACCAGGAGAAAGTGTGATGAAAGTGGACAACCCCCGGCGTAGATGACCCCAGAAATTT